TTTGAAGAGACCCTTGTCCAGCAGGCCGAGGCAAAGAGAAAGTCACAAAAGCAGCAAAACCAGGGAGGTGGACAGGGGACAGATTGGATTTGTCTTCAGTGTGGAAGAGATTGTCACTCTCGAATTGGCCTCTTCAGCCACACTAGACGCTGTTCCAAGTCCTCCATACAGAGCACGTCACCATAGTCTTTCGAGACTGAAGGATGCTTACACCTAACCTAACCTAATAAAAAATATTTCATATCCCATTAAAACTATTTTCTTTCAGTAATCCTTTTCTAGCTTTCAACTCTCAAGTTAATTTATCATTAGCAGCAAGATTCCACATCTCATTATAACATTCTTCCAACCTCATTATTATGTTTCCAATTCCTTGCAGATACAGTATCAGTCTTGCTGCTTTCAACATAATGATAGTTCCATTTTTCCTCTGTCTAACTGATTGTTTCCAAATACTGTATATTGAGTAATGCAATCATTGGACATCTTTCTATGTCAGTCCCTAGAATCTCTTTAATCTCATTAAATGCAAGCATCCATTCTGTCCGTCTCTCTTCCCGTGTCCGCCATAGATGATAATATGTTTGCCTTTCTTTCTTCTGGAGCCTTTCTGAGGGGGGGGGGCAAAAAAAACCCTGACAGCTAGAATACTTTGGGCAAATAGTGACAAGCAAGATGTACAGGTTAGCACGTCAGATTAATCGAAGCAGAATAAACAGGGAAAGACGCGCATGGGAAGGAGCCCAGCCTCTTAGAGGAAGAACGCGCGAGATGGGTTTGAGGCTGTCTCTGGGAGGCCTCAGTGTTTGCTGTGGTTTTTGCCCAACCAGCACACAAATGAAACCAAATAGGAGAAAAAGATTTTAAGAAGAAGACGAAGAAGCAGGCAAACAACAGGGGAAAGCGTCAGATTCATAAATGAAACTGCCAGAAGGTGATACCTTTGCCAGAAAAGCAGAATCTGGGAATGAAGGCGCCAGAAGGAAAAGCTCCCTTCAGCAGCCCCCCTGGCCTTTAAAACAATGCCTCCACCCAGCTATCAAGCTTTATTGCCTCTCGTTAATCAGTTAAGCAGATTAAAGCTCCAGGGCTTAATATTCAGAAATGACGGGGATGGGAGTTAACTTGATGACAGCAACATCAGGAGAAGAGTTGCATGGGCTAATGGGTCATTCCAGGTCTAGCCCTTTAGCTCACCTGTGGTGCCCTGCTCTGCAGTCGGGCCAAATGAAATCAAGGCCCCGATGAATAAAACATCCTTGTCTGGCAAGCCACTGATCAGGCGTTTGTTCTGCCTTGCCCGGTGCTGTAGCGTAGGGTTTGGCTTACTGAGGTTAACTTGAGAGATCGCACTAAGCTTTGACATCATGAAAAATATTGCCCTTAGGAAGAAAGTGTTTTCCCCCCTTGGTCTCAGAGAAATTTTGAGCCATTGTGAGATGGCCTTTTTTTGGGGGGGCAGTAAATTTAAAACTATGCAAAACTTACAACTTTAATTGCTGCCTTCTGGCTGCATGGATTTTCAAAGTCAGAGGCATCGAATTATTGTTTCAATCTCTGTGAGCAATTGGCCTGACTTTTGGGGTGCATGTGTAGCTGGTTAGCCTCAGAAAGGGAAAAGATGCTAGAGATCTTTTGTGCAAATTGCCCACCTGGACAAAAGTGCTTTGTGTCTTGCTCTTGGACAGGAGCAATACCCGGAATTCTCCATGGGCTGGATTGAGGTGTCTCAACCATGTACAAGGTTTTGGCATATCTCTATTGAGGAGACGCCACCCCCTTAGTCCTTGGTAGAGAAAGGCTGTTCTGGGGAGGGGGTTCTGATTTTGGCAGGAAAACAAGACCCGCTGATATCCTGGCCCGTTCCCTTCTGACACTGTTCTGCCCAGAATACTGTGAAGAAGCCCAGCAGGCGATCAAGCCAGCGGAAGAGCCTCCGGAAGAAGCTCACGGATGGCCAGCTGGAGTCCATCCTGCAGAGACGGCGGCGGATGGTGGACTGCCCGGCCGAGACCCCAAGCTCACAAATGCAACCCACCACCACCACTGAATGCACCTCATCTGGAGGAGTGCCAAGGGCCATGGCACAGGGAGTCTGCTCCTCTCCCAAGGAGCCCCCAAGCCCAGCAAAACCTAAGCAGGTAGGAAATCGCTGGTTGGAACTTTATGATGCTCAGGGAGGTTGACAAGTCTCGGGGCCCGAGTCCCAAGTCCCAAGCCTTCACTCCGAGTCTCAAGTCCTTTTGCCCTGCCCTCCCACAAGGCCCACAGGGACTCAGCCACGCAACTGGGACAAACAGATTTGAGTTGCAAGACGAGTCTCAACCCCCACCCCCACTCCCCGAGTTGAGTCTAAGTCGCTCATGTGGCTTAAGTCGGACCCAACAGCAACTCATGACTCGTGAGTCCCCTCCCTAGTAGTGCTCAAATTCTCCCTTCAGAATGTGGAATGCTGAAATCTCTCTCTGAAGGAGGTAACGTCTTGGCTCTAAGTCATGCCCATGTGACCACTGAGGTTGTGTCCTGTACGGATGAGAGAGGCCTGGCCTTCAAGGGGTTGATGGGCAACTCCCAGGAGCCCCCGTTGAGCAAACAGCCAATGGTGAGGAATGCTAGGAGTTGAGGTCCAGGCACATCTGGAAGAGGAATAGGTTGGTTCTTCCTGCCCTGAGGTGAACTGCAGAACTATCTCAACCAGCCCCGTGCTCAGTGCAAGAAAGCCAGGGACCAAGAGATGTCCCCAAGAGATGACGGCACTCCAGCTGAGGGCAAAGGCCAGCTAAAGTGGCCTGCCAGCCTATGTATACTTCATACCTGCTTCGTTGCCAGGTAGGAATCTGAGCCTGTGCCCTTCCAGATGTGGCCACACCAGATCCCCTTGCCGCTAGAGGAGAAACAGGAGAGGCAGCTGAGCTACACCTACATTCACAACTTCCATTCTATTGCCAATGGTTTGTGTCAGGATCATGATTTCTAAGTGCATAGGTTAAAAATAACAACAAATCTGGAGGCCTCTTTCAGATTAACAAGTTTTATTTAGCAACCCTTCAGGCATCTGATGACATGGGCCATGATCCCCAAAGCTTACGCCCATCGCCAGATAAAAACAATTAGTCTTTGAGTGGGGGGTTCTTCTGCTGCATCAGACTGCCATGCACCCTCCCCACACACACACACCCAATTCACTGAAAGTTACGCATATTTCCCATCAGATAATCACCACAATTTAGTGGGGGGCCAGTGTTAATAAATTGTTAAGGCAGGACAGGATGCTCAATGGTTTCAGCACAACGGAACAAAATAAACACAAGGGGTTGGAGATGGTCCTTAGGCAAGGCTGACTGCAAGATTCTGGAAACGATCATACAAAAAGTAACGTTTCAAGGTCTGGCCAAATCCTTGCTTGAAAAACGAAAAAAACCCAACCAACCAACCCACCCACCACCATCCTTTGCAACATCAGGAGGGAAATTGCAGTAATAAACTGCAGAGCAGATGTTTGTGTCAGAGGACGCAGGCATATTTCACAGCATGTGTGAAGTGCCTCGCTCATTCCAGGCTGTTTAATCCGTCTGTGGGTGGCCAGCACTGGCAACAGACTGACATCTCGCCTCCTGCATCGCACTTCACACTGAGCATCCACCCCTGGCCATGCAGGCTGTACCCGTCTCTCTGCCTGGTGTGCAACCCGCTCTCCTCCACACCTCTGAGAAAGGAGACTTTAAACCAGGACACTCATGGATTTGGGACTGGCCCAAATGGGACTTAACAAAGTCCAGTTTGTCCAGTGGGTTTTCCTCTCGTTGGGACTAGCGTTCAGATCCAGCCTTTTTTACTTCAAGGGGTCATAAGGCTCTTTATTATTCTGTTTCTGAAGGTGATTCCCGAAAGCCTGGGTCCCCACCCCAAGGACATGGATTTTGCTTTCCGGCAGACAGCTGCTTCCCTTCGGAGCACCGAGAGGATCTGTCCCATTCTGGCAACCCCACGGCAGTAGAAGGAACCCAGCCTTTCTCTGAGGAATATGCCGCCCTTGCAAAGGCAAAAGGGGGAAAGACAAGCATCGATCCAGAGGTAGGACATGTTTGGACTACAACCCCCAGAGTGCCCCTGCCTAGCCTCTCTGTGGGATTCTGGGAACTGTAGTCCAAAGAACTTGTCCTTCCCATCTCTGTGCAGAATAAAATCAAAGAATGTTGACTTATTCCATTGTGTCTGAGACTGAACGCGCAGCAGCTTCAAAACTAAAATCTAGTGTAAAAACAACTTATTAGTGGAAGTTTGGCTGGCTGGGGTGAATTCTGTCATCCAAATAAGTCACATTCTGAAACTGGAATGAAAGCGCGGGCTCCCATGGGTACCTGCTGGAGGGTTCTGGCCCCTGACTTTGGGGAGTCAGCTCTTTTTTCTAGATAGGCACCCCACTGAGCATCACACGGAGCTGCTACAGACTGGGATGTGCTCGTGAGACATTCAACAGGCGTAGCTGCCATGTCCATACCAAGCGTGGGTGGTTGTTGTGAAGCCATTCCTTAAATATCTCACTTCCCTTGAAAGCCCCAGGAGGGTCACAATAAGTCACATGTGATCCGATGGCACATAACACACACATCTTTCATCTCACAGCAGTTCCCATGGTGAAAAAATCTGGGTTTCTCTGGAAAGACAGCAGGCAACTGTCCGTGCCCTGACGATGCGAGGCTGGCTGCGTTGGGAGATGGGAAGCCCAGGAGGGCTCAGGGCACAGAACAGATTGTGCCACATGCAGTATGATGGCTGCACTCCCACTAAATCCCTGTGTCTGTTACACATACATCTAGTTCAGAGCTTGGAGAATGCTGGCATTTTTAACTGCAATAATGCTGAGAGCTTTTATATGTGATACCTTGCTGCAGTTGATGGCTAATACAAAGTACCATTACTAGAGAGACAGGAATTGCAGAATTATAGATTTGGAAGGGGCCTCTAAGGCCATCAAGTCCAACCCCGTGCTCAGTGTAGGAACTGAAATCAAAGTATCTCTGGCAGACGGGTGTCTAAATTTCTCTTGAATGTCTCTAGCACTGGAGCACTCACCACTTTCTAAGGTCATTGGTCTGATTGTCGTTTTCTCTGATATTCAACTGAAATCTGGCTTCCCGTTGTTTTTTGAGCCCATTATGATTGTGCCCCACACTCTGGGATGGCAGAGAAGAGATCCTGCCCCTCCTCCAGATGATTACTTTTCAAGTATTTGAAAAAATGCTCTTATATCTCCCCCAGTCTTTTCTCAAGGCTAACCATGCCCGGTTCCTCCAGTCTTCCTTTCTTGCAGCCGGATTACACTGTGGGCTCATATTCAGCTTGTGACCGCTTGACAAATCCAAGATCTTGCTTGTAGTATTGCTGAGCCAGGTATCCCTGATCTTGTAACTGTGTATTTTTCCCCCTTAGGTGTTAAATTTTGTACTTATCCCTTTTAAATCTCAGTTTGACTTATGGCACCCCTTTTCAGAGTCTTCCACCTTGCCCAAGGCCACGCAGGCTTATCTCAGGAGGCACAGTGGGGGGGGGGGTTGAACTCCCTAAGTCCGACTCCATAGCCAGATATCTAGCCACCAGATGTTAATACCGCTTGAGTTACATGAGCAACAGGATTTTCACAAATGTTCATGTAAGAATTTATACCATGATTTTAGTCTCTAGTGAAGGAGTTGCTCAAAATAGCATACAAAATGTTTTTGACACTTGCAAATATGTGTAGGCATCCTCTACGGAGGATGCCTTCTGAATGGAGGGCTTGGAACAGCGCCTAGTGTGGCTGAGAAGGCCAATTTGAGAGTGACCATCCCTTCCACACTGAAGACAAATCCAATCTGTCCCCTGTCCAGCTCCCTGATTTTGCTTGTTTCGTGATGGCCTCTTTGCCTCGGCCTGCTGGACAAGGGTGTCTTCAAATTGGGAGAGGCTATGCTGCACTGCCTGCCTCCAGGCTGAATGCTCAGAGGTCAAGGTTTCCCATCTGTTGAGGTCCATTCCTAAGGCCTTCAGATCCTGCTTGCAGATGTCCTTGTATCGCAGCTGTGGTCTCCCTCTGGGGCAATTTCCCCGCACTAATTCTCCATACAGGAGCAAAAAAAAAAAAAAGGAATCCGACCATCAGCCATTCTCACGACGTGCCCAAGCCAAAGTAGGCGTCACTGCTTCAGTAATGTATACATGCTAAAAATTCCAGCTCGTTCTAGGACTGCTCTGTTTGGAACCTTATCCTGCCAGGTGATACCAAAAATCCGTTGGAGGCAACGCATATGGAAGGTGTTCAACTTCCTCTCCTGCCATGCACAAATGGTCCAGGACTCACTGCAGTACAGGAGTGTGCTCAGGACACAGGCTCTATAGACCTGGATCTTGGTCTATGCTATTAGCTTCTTACTGAGCCATACTCTCTTTGTGAGTCTAGAGAACATGGTAGCTGCTTTGCCAATGCGTTTATCCAGCTCGACATCTAGAGAGAGTGTGTCAGAGATTGTTGAGCCAAGGTACACAAAGTCATGAACAACCTCCAGTTCTTGCATGGAGATAGTAATAGAGGGAGGTGAGTCCACGCCCTGGCCCATGACTTGTGTTTTCTTCAGGCTGACTGTTAGTCCAAAATCACTTGGAAATAATCCGTCACTAAACATATATATCAAAATAATCAGCAAATTAATAATGTACAGTATTTATATGACAGAACCTTTCAGATGTCTTAAACACTTGTATAATATAGTCCTGCAGAAATAATAAATGTTTACAGATGTTTTCTGGGGTGGATAGTCTTGATTCATTCTTTGGAATGCGATTTCCCAGACACAACCTCCGTCCTGGGAACGGTGGGAGCCGTAGGACAAAATTTAACTTTTCAACACTCTTCGTTCTGATTGACTTTCAAAAGTTATGTTATTTTTAGAAGGCATTTCACAGCCTTTTGGCAAGAATTGTAGATGCTTTGTGCCACTTTTATCTTCCCTCAATGGCAAGACAGAAGGCGGCTGTATTGAATGGAAGTGTTTTCAAAGGAAATATCAGAAGCGGCCACTAGAGGGAACAGGAGAACCTCTCTTCCCAACGTTGCTTTCTGATCCCGATAAGAACGCCAGGCGTTACTAACGTGCAACACATCCCGGCACTTGGAAGGAACCACGATCCCCCAGCCAGACATGCTGGGGTGGGAGTAGGGTTTAACTGGGGTGGGAGTAGGTAATTTAACTACTTTTATTCATTCAAAACAAAAATATAAGATATAATTACGTATACCGACATATAAAATAGATCTGTAACAACAACAGGGCCTGCGGAGGTTGGGAGCGGGGCTACTGGAAACTGTAGGAAGGAAAGGAAGGAGAAAAGTGTCAGCTTTTGGACTACAACTCCCATAATCCCCGGCAGCTGGGGCCCTTGGGAGCTGCAGTCCCTCGCCCCAGAAAAAGCCCAGCGCCCCAACAAGCCCCCTCCCCTCGCCAATCCCTGATGGAAATCATGCCCTCCCGCCGCCGTTAGGGGTTGATGGGGGTTGTAGTCCAGCAGCTAACTGCCCCTCTCGCCTCCCCCTCTCGTCCTCCTCCTCACGCCCCACCCCCCGTGGCGGCAAGGCGGGGCCCGTCTCCCCTGATTGGTCGGCGGCAGCGAAGGGCGGGGTGTTAGCAGTTTCCTCTCCCTCTCTCGCTGCCCCTCCGCCCGCAACGGATCTGTGCCGAATCCAACCCTCGTGGATGGGAGTCACCCCCTGGGCGGCCAGATTTGCCTGGGAGGGTGACAGCAAGTGCAGGTTTCCCACCTGGAAGGGAGGTGAAACGAACGCGAAGATGACCTGGCAGGCAAGGCAGGGGCTGTTGATGCTAAGATTGCTTCTAGGCAGCCTTCAGCTATTTTGTCCTCTTCTAACCACCATCTCCTGGAAAGCAGCCGAGTTCTTCAAGCAGTCTCCTGCTGGTCTCAAACCACAGCTGGATAGGCATACTCCCAGTTCCTTTTAATACACACAGAGAGAGAGAGAGAGAGAGAGAGAGAGAGACAGACAGACAGACAGACAGACAGACAGACAGACAGACAGAGAGCTGCCCTGGCTCTCCTCCTCGCCCTTGCAAAGTCCAGGATTGGGACCACCATCCTTCCCCAGGGCTCCCCTCTTGGCCAGGTTGGGGGGAGGTTGGCTCTACAGAACCGCCACCCCAAGGGTTATAAAGCCCCCCCCCACGGATGTAAGTCTGCAGGGTCTGGGGGTCCTTGCTTTCTGGGAGGGCAACTCCCAGGGGCTGGGGCTGGCAGGCCAGATTGCTTTGGGGGATTCTGGGAAGGCTAGTCCCTCCCCCCCCATTTCTCCCCCACCCCCAGAAGAAAAGCTCTGGAGCTCTAAAAGGTCCCCCCACCACAACCTTCCATCCCCAGAGAGCGATTGTTCGTCCAGGTGGACCAGGAAATGGCCCAGCCCCAGAGAGGCTTCTTTTCCCATTAAGTCCCTCTTCTTCCTGGAGGGACGATTGACCGTCTTTCCTCCGAGCGGTCAGTTAGCCTTTTGTGGCCACAGAGGCTGGCTGGCCGGCCAGGTCCTCTTCAGGCTTTGTCTCCAACTGCCACTGTGAGGATTTTTTCCTTCCTTTCGGCAAAACATGGCCCCCCCTCCCCACAACCTTGGCAGAATTTCCACCCTGCTCTGCTCACATCATCCCAATTTGCAGTGACACTTCTCTGCATCAGAAGTTGGGAAAGTTCTCAAAGCCCATCGAGTCCAACAGCCTGCCTTTTTAGGAACTCCGCTACAGTGTTATTCCAATGATACTGCACTGTTAATTATTTTAATCACCACTTTACTCTTGAGTTCAACAAAATGAATTCAACATGCTTCTTCATTTTTGTTTAGTGCCTCCAAGGCAGCCCAGCAGCCCTCAGTGAGGTTTAAAGCAAGGGAAGAGCACTATGCGGCTAGCGTGGGACACGTGCGCTGGCTCCAGATCTGCCTGCAAAAAGCCGAAACTCCAACCCAAGCGGATATTAATGTAAATTCCCTCCTCTCTATGGTTAATGTTTGGGCACCAGGGGAGAAGGGTGCCTTTCTGACACACCCCATCAAATCCATTTGGGGTGTCTCACCTTTAAGAAATAAAGGGACATGTTGGGACTGTAGGCTAAACCGCAGAAGCCTTTGTGTGCTGCAGGGTCAGAAGACCAGCAGTGGTAAGATCGAATCCACGTGACGGAGTGAGCGCCCGTCACTTGTCCCAGCTCCCGCCAACCTAGCGGTTCGAAGCATGCAAATGCAAGTAGATAAATAGGGACCACCTCGGTGGGAAGGTCACGGCATTCCGTGTCTAGGTCGCACTGGCCATGTGACCACAGAAGATTGTCTTCGGACAAACGCTGGCTCTATGGCTTGGAAACGGGGATGAGCACCGCCCCCTAGAGTCGAACACGACTGGACAAAAATTGTCAAGGGGAACCTTTACCTTTACCTTTTTACCTTTAAGAAATACAGCAAGTGAAGATGGAATGAAATAGAGTAAAGGCACTGGTAGCTCAGAGGGAACAACCATTACTGCCCAAGAGCCGTGGCCTGCATCCTGCCTTTGTTGTTTGTGGGAGTAATTACCTCTCCCGTCCCATTGTGTTCCCTATGAAGCAGAATGAGCCCTCTGTAACAGACGATTGCTAAGAATTTCTGCTGTGGGCTTGACGCTGTTCCTTCCTTCAGCTGGGCCCCCCTGTCTCCCCGAGACGGGATGTAAAGGATTCTCCTGGCCAAGAATGAGACTCGAAGCACTTCCCCCACTCTTTTGTTAGAGCAGCTTATGCAAACTATCTCTAGCGTATTTTCTTTTTCACAAACACACAGCATAACAAACATACATGCTTACACAGAACCATCATTGGTGTCTGCCTCAAGGTGGACCATGCAGATGTCATGACTGAGTCGAGTCGGCTCATCTCCCCAGACCCTGTCCGATGTTTACTGCCTCCGTCTGCCTGCACCAATCCATTGAGGCCCATCCTCCTGTGTCTCAAAACAGGATGAGGATCCCTAAAGTCATAGCAGCAGACCTTCCTAGCTCGATCTGTGTTTGTGCGAAGCCAGATGCAAGGGAGCAGGAAGGCAACAAAAGCCTGCTGGTTTTGCCAAAGAGACCAACGAGGTCCCCTCGTTTTCTGCCTTTGTTTTCATCCCAGGGCTTCTCCGCGCTCCACATGGCGGCTTTGCATGGCCGGTTGGACTGCATCAAGATGCTGGTGGAGAAATACAGTGTCAATGTGGACCTGGGCAGTTTGACGGGCTGGAGGGCCATCCACCTGGTGCTGAGCAAGGAGGCGGGGGGCATGGCGCTGGAGTGCCTGCAGTACCTCATCAAGAAAGGTGCAGACGTCAATGTGTAAGCTGCAGGGGGGGACATAACCCAGGGGTCCTTTTGTCCCGCCTGCCCCATGGGCTGCCAAGAGAGAGTAGGAGAGGCTCCCCTTTGAACAAGAGCCTCGGGTGCTGAGTACGAGGAAGGCGGCACACTTCTCAGCTAGCGATGCCCCCGCCCACCCAAGACAAGCAAGGAAGCCAGTGCTCAGACAGTCTTCCCCTCCAGCCAGGCAGCCAGCATCGTCTGGGGACCCCCACATTAGGCGGCAGCAAATTCCAAACATCTCCAAGGGAACCAACAGGTCCTGGCCTCCCCACAAGGTTGTTAACCTCTGTGTCAACAATTTTTTTAAAAAGTATTCAAAGCTTTGATTATTAAATGAAACGACAAAAGCTTAGAGTTTGAATCAGGCCTCAAAGATATGCCTTTCTGGACTCCAGTTCCTAGAACCCACACTCTCTGGGGCATTCTGGGAATTGCAATCCAAAATTTTTTTCCATGTCCTGGCTCTGGATCAAAAGCATGTAAAAAATTCTGGAGGGCTTCAGATCTCCTTCCGTCTCAAGAGCAATGACCTCCAGGTAATTCTCTTTCATGCACACTCTACTAGCTGAGAATTCGTACTGGGCAAAATCACATCATCAGGCTGGGGTGGGGGAAGTACTTCGGGCTTCAAGTACTGACGAATCTTGAAAAATCTCGATTCCCCATCGTCAGGCAGAACCACAACGGGGTGTCTCCACTTCACAAGGCAGCCAGTGAGGGACGTGAGAACTGCATCCAACCCCTTGTCGATGCTGGTGCTGACGTCCATGCCAAGGATGCAGACGGCCAGGAGCCCCTGGATCTCTGCAAAATGTGGGGCCACAAGGCCACCGCAAAGTGAGTACATGCGCAGTGGGCACCAAGACACTAGACCATGAGGTATCGTGTGCACACACACACCATGGCCGTCAAGCCACATACTGCCTTATGTTAAGAGTTCTCCTATCCTGCGACTAAAATTCGTATTTGAGCAATACCTTTATTAGCAGAAATGACAACTGCTGAATTGTCTACATGCGTTTTAAGTTCTCCAGGGTTTGGTGTGGGTTTTTTGTTTTGATACGTTTCTCTGGTGGATCTTAGTCATCACTAAAAAAACTTGGGGGAGAGATTTTCTGCTTGGTGTTCTTATCTAATTCTAACCCCGTAGAAATGACGTTTTCTTGTGAGAATCTCCCAAGATGCCTTGTGTGGCATAAGCAACAAGCTCGTAGGATCCTGGAGTCACGATGGCCAACCCTGGGGGTGTCCAGGGGGTCGCTTAGCCCCCCCCAAGTCTTTGAACTGGACCCAAGGCCACTAAAGATGTGTGTGTAGGAAACTGGGGATCGTTTTGCAAAGGGTGGCAAGTCTGAGGAGTGGGTTTGTGTCACTTTTGCCCCTCACCTGAAGCAGCTCCCTCTGCTCCGTGCTCTGTCCTCTGTAGGTGCCTCCGTAGTGCCATCTGGAAAAGGGAGAAGGCCAACTTTGCCCAGGAAGTCTGCAGACTGAAGGAAATCAAAATGGAATGTGAGGCAAGGAGAAAAGAGTTCCTTATAAGACAGCAGGTAAGAAGCACCGCCCAGGGTTAAAGACACACACACACACATACACACTCCCCCCTCCTTGATTATTTCGGCTGCCAGTAAAATAACCAAGCAAATTGCCTCCCTCTGACCCCCAGTGAGCTCTTTTGCCATGGAGGGGGGGGCTGGCATGTTAAGGGTGGATGAAATTACCTGATGTTGAAAATGTAACCTGATGAATGTGGTTCCTGCCATTCCCCACCACTGGTGATGCCTTCTGAAGATTTCTGTAGAGGTGGCTACCTGTCCGATTCCCTTGAGGGGACTGTGGAGAGCGATCCTGCCCTCAGCATTCTGAAGAAGTGTTTCAGTGGGAGCTGGAGGGACCTAAGAAGGTGGAGAGATGATTCCTCTTTCTCCTTCCGAGGTCCCCGAGGCCCGGAGCTCGCTCTGCGAAAGAAGGGCTTTGGGTTTCTCCCGTGAGGTTTTCAGCAACCCAACCAGTTCTCACGTTTCTTTTGAGGAAGCTATCCTTATATCGTGCTCCTTGAGGCCTGTTCTCTCAGACACGACAGGCTTCCCCTCCCTTGAGGGTGTGTAGGGTTGCAGCCCTGAAGTAGTTTTTAAAAATGCCCATCCATGTACTCTTAAGTATTAACATGTCCGTTACCTATAGCCTGGCACCACTGATAATATGGGCAATAAGGACATTAATTATATGCATCTGATCATATAAATTAGTAGCGTCCCCCAACCACTGCAAGGTTGCCAAGCTGTCCAGTCTGTTGAGCAGATGCAAGTCCAGCGGGAAAGCTACAGCTTGGAAAAGTTACTGTTCTGATGAGAACTCTGAGGCTCTCCAGCCTGGAATTCTTGGAAGAGTTGTCCAAATAAGCAACTACTGTCCAAGCTCCGAAGGAAACTTTGGTGAGGGCTGGCCAGATTCTGACTGGCCACCCACAGCCTAAGGCCCTGGCCACTCTGGCCTCTCTTTTTTGACCTCTTGTGTATTTCTGCGGCAGGCGGAGTTGGATTTCTGTAACCACTGGGCGTACAATGAGTGGTTGGCCAAGAAGGGTTTGCCTCTTCCCTCTGACCGGATCCTGGGCTTTCTGGGAAGCAGGCGCCAGTCAGCAAACCTCTGGAAGTATGTGGGGAAAACCAGCCTTCCAGTCCCAGTGCCCTCCCCCACATCCCTAGACCTGGAGAAAAGGCCTGCCGCTCAGGTGCCACGTAAGCCACATTGGGCGTGGAACTTCAGCACGAACCCTTCCTCCGCACCGGCGACTTGCATCTTCCGGCCCAACACCATCCGGATCGGGGTTGACCCAGAAAAGGTTCCAGATCCCGACTTCACCTCCTTCCTGTTTCTTTACAAGAATGCCTTTGGACAGCCAGAAATCCAGATTGACAACATGGAAAAAGTCCCCTTTGTGCCGGACCTCCCCTTTGACGTCCTGGAGAAGAGTCTCTACCCGCGCGCCCGACACACGCGCCTGGAGGTCCCAGAGGATCTCAGGCCGAGGCACCTTCTGGATCTGAAGCACAGGCGCCCCCCAGGCCCAGAGCACCAATGGACAGACCAGATGGCAGTGAGTCTGCGGCAGACCCTTGACCCTGCCTTTCTTGGCACGCTGAAGACCCACTTGTCCAGCTACAGCGACCCCAAATGGCTCTCTCCGGGTCCGGCGTTGGATCGCGCCCAGGGCAGCGAGACCTCTTCCCTCTTGAGCAGTAGTAGCCGCCGTGAGGAGTAGCCAGCTCCATGGATGGGCGCCATGCTCCCGGCAACTCACAAGAGTTTCTTTTTAACGTTCTGACTCCAGCTGTATGGCAGGACACAGCCTGTGGGCAGCAATTGTCCAGCCGCCCTCTTAGGGACCAAAGAATATTAATCTACTTGGCATTCCCCTATCTTGGTTGTGAGAGCACTGAAACCAGAAAAGGGCATTAAACCAGTTCATCTAAGGGTATTTTCTTTTCTTTCTTTCTTTTAAACCCACTGTCCTCATTTGGTGCCCAAGAAGGGCTCAGGGATCCCAGCAGTCAGGGCGACCGTGTGCCACACAGGAATGTGGGCTAGAATTTCATGCTGTCACCACCCTCTTTGTCTTTTGAATGAGGGCGAGGCGTTTGTCATCCCACCCTTTACCTGGGGTTTGAGTTCTGATGGGTTCCGGTGGCCGAGAGATGCGTGCAGGGAAAGGAACCTCTGGATAACGCCAGTTCCGGTCAAAGGCCTCGCCTCCTGAATTGGTCTGAAATTCATTGCAATAGGAGCACCATGCACCAGAGAGGGTGAGGTGCCACAGCAGCTGCGCCAAAATTCAGTGGTCACATTCAGTGGTAGGGGGTGGTCTAATTGCAAGGACCTCACAGCACAGCAGCCTTAATTAGGACCATCCACTAAGATACGGGGAAAAAATGCTGGCTGTAAAGGTAGAAAGCCAGGAGGCTGCCAAGGCAGGTGTTTGGCAAAGGTAGGTTAATCTGCTGAAGGGAAGTCACGGCCACGTGCTGAAAGCAGGCAGCTCCTCCTTTTCAGGGAACGATCCATGACAATGGGTGGAGGAGGACTTCAGAGGTGGGATTTTCACTCACCCCCCCCATCCCTTGTCCATCTAAGAGAGAAGTGAAACCAAGGTGGAGGATCTATCCGGAGCCTCCTACCACTTCTCCTCAGATTGAAGGAGCTACTTGGATGAGTAGCAGAAGGTTTCAGCCTAATACGGAAGAAGTCCCGATTGCTAGGACTCAACTTCCAGATCACCTCACCTTGGACGACTGGGGAATCGTCACAGGTATATTTCAGGGAACTTGTTTGCTCATAGGGTGTTAAGGGGGGGTGAACTGAGAACCAAACTCAGCAAGGAGCAGGAACGAGATGCCTGCTGAGACCTCACAAGAGGGGCTGGATTGAGCGCCAGCTCCCAGAGAACCACAGCGAGCTTGGCCAACCCCACCCCAACCCCTTGCTTTGTTTTTGCTACCTGGCAGCCCCACCTGGTTGCTTAGAGAAACAGGGTCCTTGACGGCCAGTTTAAAGGTGCAACCCAACAGGGAAAGTCCCACGGGGGTTTAGAAAACACAGATGAGTACTGTCTGTACTTGATTATCTTGTTAATTTTTTAAAAAGGATTCATAAGGTTATTTGTTTTTTAAAGGGTTGCCTTTTGCTCCAGGGGACCAAGAGCCCTGGGCGCCCCCCTTTAGGGGTCAGGAGGGCGAGCAGGGTGCTGATGGCCAGCAGCCACAGAAGCTGGGAAGTGGGTTTTACGGCTATAATATTAATTACGGGACAGGTTCTTGGCATTCCTATTCCCTCAGGGATCAGACCGATGGTCGGAGGGAGAGCTCCGTGTTTGCAAACATGTCAGGGCCAGATCAAAACTCGGTCTCTTTGACTGTTTTTGCCGTGCTGGAGACATGAATGCCGTTTCTACCATCTTCACGGTTTTACTATTTGGGTTCTCTTTGTATATCTCCTGAGCATCCATGGATGGGGGCTCATTTAAACATGTTTTAATAAACGTAATAAAAAGCTCTGCTCGATCAAACATCCAGGAGACTGATCAGGAGGACCGAGAGAGGGTGGACTGAGGGCCGGTGGTTCCCCATGGATGTCTTGAATCTGAGTCAGGGGCCACGAGGTCAAGGGAACCAGACTGCCCTGGAGCAAGCAGGTGTCTGCAGAGAGCCAGGCCGCTCAGGGCTGCAACGATGGCCCCAAATATCTGTGAGGCATGACCTTAAGAATGGGCCGTGATAGGCTGGACTGGGCTCTGCAAGAGCCTCCTCAACTGTGAACACCTGAGTCACGAGTCCTGCCTGGCCCAGAACAGGACAATCTTGTAGTGGTCTAACTGAAAGCAGCTCCCCAAGCTCAGCAGATTCCGGACCAAAAAATGGGGGCCTTCTTCGTGGACAGACACCATCCTGCAAGGAAAAGACCTCAGCGCAGCGCCCAACGTCCAGCCGGGCACGTTTGGCTAGGATTCCTGGCTCTGCTGGGCATCTCCCCACCCTTGCTAACAGTCTGACAGGTAGAGGAGGAGGAGGAGGCCGAAGGTTCTTGCACTATTGCGGGGGGAAGGCAGTGAAAGCTAAACAGAGACACTGCAAACTTCTAAGAGTTTGTTAAGAACCATGTCAGTAATCTAGTCCTCCATGGGAGAGATGATGCCAACATGCCTCCGGATCCAGGCAAACGCCTCCCTGGATTGCTAGGCTGCCCCCAAACTCACTGGCAAGCAGCCGGTAGCAGAGCCTCACACAAATCTTTCTGAGCAAACGGGAAACTCCATCTCCAGCCCACCAAGGCTGTTCCTCCTCATGTCCTAGGTTTTTCACCACTTCAGAGCCTTCGGTCTGGACAATAACACGCTCCACCATGCCCCATCTGACCCAGGCTTGTAAAGTGTTTAGAACCCAAAAGCACGGCTTTAATAAAGACCCTGGGAAGAGGAGAAAGAGGAAGCAGTTCATATCGCTTGCTTTTAAGGCAAATTTAACTATCACACCTTTATTAACACAGATTGTGTGCTAAAACAGAAACCAAATGTTCATTAATTTAAGAACAAAATGATACCGCGATCAGCCTTCGCCAGCTGGAACCTCCAGAACTCATTCCAGGGAAGGAAGATGGCCACTGGCAAGCCTAGTCTGCCTGAAGAAAAAGATATAAGCCTTTTGCACTCCAGGAACATTCAAGCAGCCTCTGGTCACTTCTCCGCAAGCAGTCTTTAATTTTTACGTCCATATTCTCTCTGGTGCTCGGGGAGTCCAATTTCCACTTAGGGTGGCAGGTTCCCAGTCAGTGAAACCTTTGCCAGAGGGCAGATATGCCCTCGTTTTTGAACCGGGCTCCCCAGGTATGCAACTAAAATGCTGAAAGAGTGGGGATTGAAGAAATCTGCGCAAATAATCAAGCCTAGATTGCCCAATTTTTTTTAAAAAAAAGGCCTGTCAATGACTCTCCAAAAACACCTCAAGAGGGGGAGACTCCAGCTAAAAATGAGGGAAAGGAGAGATGTTGAGTTCCTGGTCCGTGACATTAGGATCCATTTGCAGAGAAGCTGATTGCCGATGTGCCTCCAGAGCTGCTTGTCCCAGCCCGACACCCAGGCCAAATTTCTCCCTGTGTCTCTCCACCGTAACCCCAATACAGATGAATGAAAAAGTGCCTACGAAGGTGTAGCCTCTCCCTCGTTCTCCACCAATTTCCACACGGAAAAACTTGGTGGGAGGATGCACATGACTTCATTGTAAGTCTGCGTAAATCCCTATCATACCTCGGAAGCCCTTCATTCCAAGGAAAAGACAAGTCCGTGAACAAAAGCGCCTATCCCAAAAACATTTTGGCTCAAACAGGAATCGATAACGAAAGTTCACCCTAAGGACAGGAGACACAGGAACCCGAAGTCTCGTAGGGCTTCTCAGCTTTCCTGACCACAACCACTTTTTTTTTAAAAGGCCATCAAAAATGGGAGTGGTCCAGAGCAGAGCCTGTGTGGGCCTGAGGTCGCTGGCCCGGCAGTCCCCAGCATCTATTCCTCCCAAGCGTGTCCCTTGGAAAGATGGGCCGGTCGGCAACCTTGCACTCAGAGGAGGAGCAGAAGAAGAGGCAGGGGAGGAGGGTGGGATCATCAGTAGATCTTCTGGCGACTTGGCAAGATGGCTTCCTTAACGAACGAAAAGATGACCAGGATGCCGGAGCGTTTCCCTCGCTTCCCTTTCGTGAAGTAGTTTGAGACCACGTCGTCTGAAAAGACAAACAGAAGGGGATCAGATGTAATCAGACCCTCCACGAAATAATGCTTTTTTTCCACCCCAACTTCACTTGCCCAATCCCCATTTCTTTGCGGGGGGGGGGGGGAAGAGAAGTATGGTCTCTCTCCCTTCCCCCACTCCCAAAAGAGCTAATGACTCCACTGCCCCATCTTGCTGGACTCATGCGTTTCTGCCAGCCAGGATCAGGAGAAGCGAAGCCTGCCCCTTTGTCTCTGGAGCTAATCGACTGGACAGAGTGAATGCATGACTCGGCTCTTGGCACATCCTGTACAGTATCGGTACTACATCCCAGAGACAGGTTTTTAGCAGCAGAAAGATAAATAGACTTCTGGGCAATGGCTAAATAAATCTATAGTTCAGGAAAAGGACAGGCATGAGCAAGAGGCTTCAGGGCCAAAGACACAGCATCCATGGCCAGCTGGACTTGGCATTAGCCACAGAAGTCGCCAGCAGCCCCAGTCAACACAGCTGCTCCACCTAGTCCACCCTAGGAAGTCCTGTGTTTGCTCTAAGGTGATGCAGAACTGCTTCTTCAACATCAGGTTCAGCCCTTTCCTAAGCCTCTCTGGACTCACTCTAGCCAAACAGGTATCTCTGATCTCTCCCCATTGATTCACGCCAAACAATGGCATGGCCGTCCCAGATTTTCCTGTTTTGCCCCAGTCCAGGGTTTGATTTTTGATTTTTTTGGCATTTTGGTTGTGATGCATTAAAGAGTAGACCTTGGGGGCAGGGAGCTGGCTGGCACTGGGTGCCTGTTCTAGAAAGATGCCCCTCTGACCACAAAGTTCACTAGAGCATGGATCACATGACGAAACTCACCTCCCGGCTGCACTGTGGACGGCAGGACGTTTTCCCCAGCCGACAAGGAAACAAAGAACGCAAAGGGGATGAGCCACAAGCAGAAAGTGAAGTAAGCAAGAACCTGGGAAGGAGACGGGAGGAGGAAGTGGAAGAGGAGGAGGAGGAGGTCACGAAAAGCCACACACTTGGCACTACACAACCTGCCCTTCCCCAGGCCTTCCCAAACAGAGTGTGCCCCACAGTTGGTGTCCCAGAAGCTCACATCAGAGCTAGATCAGGTCTCGGAAGAGTCTGCCCCTGCAGGCTCACCTGCCAGGGCCGCCATTCATGAGCCGCGGCGGCAGAAAAGCCAGATGACCAAGACACACACACACACACACAAATGCCAAAAGGCTGTTTCTTACCTCCGAGAAAGGATAATACTCTTCTGCAAAATACTGGAACGCTAAGTAGTGATTCAGGACAACCAGCCCTGCCAAAGGAAGGAAGGAAGGAAGGAGTTTCCACGTAAGAAACAAAACTCTCCTGCACATCCCTCAGCTGCCCTCCAGCCCCTGCAGGTGGCCGCGCAGGGGGAGGGCACAATGCCAAGCAGAGGATGATTCAGCCCCATCTCAAATGCAAGGGACATGACAGAGGGTGATAGTCACTGAGGCAGTGGTTCCCTGCCTGCCTCCAGAAATAACCTTGGGACATAACGGGCAGCAGCAGCAGACAAATGGCTATTCCCTAGCTGTGAGCTCCTCATTTGCAGGGATAAAAGATCTACTTGTGCAATAGGGTTCTAGCAAGACTGAATGGTTCTGCATAGTCCCAGCAAAGCAGAATGCCTAAAATTGAGAAAACTAGAAACCAACCAACTAACCAACCATCCAATCTGGCTCCCACCTTCTTCCAGATACTCACCACAGGACAGTATGAAGTTTGGGGAGGTCAGCATGATGAACGGGAAGGTCTGCAATAATCCGAAATAGACCAGGTTGGTGAAGAGGCCCACGCCCACCATCAGGCTGGGGAAGTGTTCAAAGAGGTACAGCCCAACCAGCACGGCGGTGGAGAACTAGAAAAGATCGCAGAGCACCGTCAGCTCCAGCAGCCTTTACCGACCACACACCAGCCGGTCTGGCTGAAGACATCATCTGACAAAACCGATCGTTTGGAGTCCTCTCTGGTCTCAGCTGGCTTGCAAGGGCCCATTTAGGCGCCTGTTTCCAAAGGTACTCCCCAAAGCCTCCAGGCATGCGTGCGCTTTGGAGAGGAAATCTCAATGGGACAAAGCACCTTCCCCCTTTCCCCCCCACCCCAGAAACCACAGAGAAGGCTAGAGGAAAGGGGCCAGAACAGCTGACCAAAGCGGTCTTCCCAGGGAAAGGAAGCAAGACCCAAAGAGGCAGCCCGGCTTGCCCTCTGAAGGAAAGTCTCTCTCCCTCCTGCTTCACCTCAAGCATGACGCCTGGGGGACTCCTTCTTACATGCCATGGTGCGGGTTCAGGTCCAGGCCCGCCCCAACGCTCTCTCTCCGGAGGATCCCCCAGGAGACGGGGAGCGCGTTGCCCGCCCTTACCCAGATCATGTACTTGATGACCCTGCTGGTGGCCACGGTGTACTCTTCTATCAGCTCCGCCAAGTAGTACAAGCCGGCCGCTGGAAAAGGGAGGAGAGAAGGGTTGGGGGAGCGGGCCAGAAACAAAAAGCTGTGTTTTGGGGTTTCTTTAAGGCAAAAATGTGGTGGCTCCTTAAAGGCAATTTTTAATACTTTTTTTAAAAAAAAAAATTTACTGTGTGCTTCTGTTGGCAAATCTGCTTCCCCAGACGTTATTTTGGGGGATCTCCTTTGTTTCACTTAACGGTCCTATAGCTCCAGGGTGCTCACGGCAAAGAAGTTTCCTCCTCCTCCCCCTCCTCATCTTGCCTTGGGCCCAGCTGGAAGGGACCCTATAAGATCATCAAGACCAGCCCCTATCAAAGAAGCCCGAGGGGGCAGCGGCGGCGGGGATTCGAACTCCCAACCTTTGGCTCCGCAGCCGGAGACCCCTCAACCCCTGAGCTCTCCAGCAGAGCTTCTCCCTTCAGAGAGAGGGGCTGAGACGCCTTATTATTGGGGGGGGGGGCTTTGCATGTGGCCCATACCCCGTAAGCGTCAGGAGGGAAACACAGGGCTGGCTGGGGATGATGGGAGTGGCAGTGGCCCATGCCAAGAGGCTGGCGGGAGGCAAGAGTGGGGTTGCAACCCACCCACCCCCACCCCCGAGGTCGGGCGCCCTCGCCCCATTCCTCAAACGAGCCC